TAAAAGCGATGGGGAAATATTTTTTATACATAAAACCGTAGTAATGGGCCATAATGACTAAATCCATAACAAGATTGAAGCCTATTATTATTTTTTTTATTTATAAGCTCTAAATCGATTAAACGTCAAAATGATTGATTTTAGAAAATTAACTCAATCATAACTCAAAAAATAAAAGCGATAGGGAAATACTATTTATACATAAAACCTTAGTAATGGGCCATAAAGACTAGATCCATAAAAAGATTGAACTGAATTATTACTATTTTTTATTTATAAGCTCTAAATCGATTAAACATCAAAATTGTTGATTTTCGAACATTAACTCAATCATAACTCAAAAAATAAAAGCGATGGGGAAATATTTTTATACATAAAACCTTAGTAATCGACCATAAAGACTAGATCCATAACAAGATTGAAGCCTATTATTATTTTTTTTTATTTATAAGCTCTAAATCGATTAAACATCAAAATGATTGATTTTCGAAAATTAACTCAATCATAACTCAAAAACTAAAAGCGATGGGGAAATATTTTTTATACATAAAACCTTAGTAATGGGCGATAAAGACTAGATCCATAACAAGATTGAACCCAATTATTACTATTTTTTATTTATAAGCTCTAAATCCATCAAACATCAAAATTGTTGATTTTAGAAAATTAACTCAATTACAACTCAAAAACTAAGAGCGATGGGGAAATATTTTTTATACATAAAACCTTAGTAATGGACCATAAACACTAGATCCATAACAAGATTGAACTCAATTAGTACTATTTTTTATTTATAAGCTCTAAATCAGTGGTGGCCTGATTGAAGCAGTGAAATATCTATATCTGGGACTCAGAGCAAAACCGTTTAAAGTAAACCCTTCGGTCGATCTTGGCAAAACATTTATATAAAAAATCGATCTTGATCAAAAATTAGTGGACACCACTGTTATATATCAACAAGAAATCGTCAGATTTGAAAGATTCTAGCCCCTCGGTCGCAAGCGACCTTGGTGAAGTGAGGATAAACGATTTCTTACTCAGTATTTTATTATTATTTTTATTTACGTTTAAATCGACAGATATATAATGTTATTCTTTTTAATGATAGTTAAATAATAATTAATTGAAAATTGAACCCATTCATTTTCCCAAAATCAATACCTACATTACAATTTTGCAATTATTGTTCTATGTAGACCCCATAATTGTACCTGCGATTCGTTAGCGGCCTCTCATAATTAATTGCAGCCCCCAAAACACCCTTATACAATCGCAATTTTGGCACGCGCAACTCTGGGCGAGAGTAGTGCAACATTTGAATATGAATTTTGAAATCCACGAGCAATGTGAATCATTATAATGTTCGGAATATGAATGGGGGTACCCGATTACATCGAGCCTCGCGGTTCTACGTGATTTCTCGTATATTCATTAGGTTTAATTGCGTTTCGCAGCATCCAAAATGTTGACCTCCCGTCGTCGCTCGACGTTGGATGGTGAACATTTTTTTAATTTTCCAATTCTCCGCTTACATAAAGGACGAATGGAGATACGGCGATTATACTGCAACAAAAGCCGATTTGTGAATAAGGAAAGAGGAAACGGGCGGTCACAGTAATTTATACAGTATGTTTATTAATTGTTGTCACTTCCATTATTGTTACATTCAATTAGATTTTATTTCAAGTTGTTTTAAAATTCTTCATCACAGTCATTGATGATAATTTCTTATTTCCGTCCAAGTTTTATTGACGAGTACATCAAGACAAGAAGAGAACCTTCTTGAGAACTACAAATTGTTCTGATATACAAGTGGTTTACGTCGCCCCAACTTCTCAAATACCCCACAATTACGTCTATTAGCATAAGTGGCATCGATAAGGAAGAAATTCCAATGAAAATCTTTCTTTCCATACAATAGCACATAACTTCACTTTAAACTCTTTTTATTTTCTTCTGTATTTACATCAAACCCAAAAAAAGAGAATTGGGTCAAACCAATTTATCCTTGTCAATTGTTTAAATAAAAAATAAACCGATTACAACAAAGTGTACGTAACAAAATTACGTGGTATGTACGTGTTTTTGTTATTTTCGGTATTTATAATGAAAAAAGGAAGAGGAATCGATGCGTGATGGATTCGGAAATGTTCGATACGTTTTCCTGTGGATTTTTTTTTTTTTTGTAATGTAGGCTTGGTGACACGGTTGGTGGATCTTGATCACAATGCGACACTCCCTTCCTCTTTTGCGGTGTCCACAAACTGTTAACTGGGCAAAAAGAGTGGAAGAGTTAACTCAGAGTGGGATGACGCCCTTCCCTGTATATAGAGTTTTTAGTGTGGTTTTAGTTTACGAGTTTAAAATTTCGTTTTTAGTCTCATTTATTTTACTCACAGTTTGCGACACCAACAATTTATTAAGTGATTAAAACACTGAAATTAAATTAATTTAGTGAAATTTTAAACAAGATTCAAGTTTGTTCATTTGTGGTTTCAAATAAAATAATTAACGCGATTGAAAGAATTAAAGGTAATTAATTTCTTTTTAAAATTCATCTTTGTTTGAATTTCTGTTTTTGAATTTTCGCATTAATTTTGAATAATACTGCAAATTGAAAATAATGGGTGATGTCATATTTCCGGTTTACGCCAAATAAATTCTGTTCCGTTTCGAAACACTGAGTAAAAAGGTTATTTGATGTTTAATGTTTTTAATGTACCTACTCTAAGTGTTATTATTTGTTTTTGTTATACATTTACATATTGATTAAAGCGCTTTTTTATACCCAACTTAGGTAAGCAATAATATTAATTGAGTTGATTGTATTTAATCTTATTTTGTTATTCAAATCTAACACTGATGATAAAACGATGATACAAAGTTGTGAATCATAGCTTCCGTGTTTATAGAAACTAAGAAATTATTTATGGTACACTAAATCTGCATTAAATTTGCTTTAAAATGTTAATTATTTCAGTTTGCCATCTCAATTTGTTGTTGAGATACGATTTTTTAAACTTTTCTTTTAACCCACCATAATGAATGAAACAGAGTTAGGATTAAAGAAAGATAACTTCCGTATTTATAGGAACTAAGAAATTATTTATGGTACACTATATCTCTATTAAATTTGCTTTAAAATGTTTATTATTTCAGCTTGATATCTCAATTTGTTCTTGAGATACGACTTTTTAAACTTTTTTTTGTATCCATCATAATTAATGAAACAGAGTTGGGATTAAAATATCCTAACTAACGGGTTTATGGAAACTAAGAAATTATTTATGGCACACCAAATCTGTATTAAATTAGCTTTAAAATGTTAATTATTTCACTTTGATATCTCAATTTGTTCTTGAGATACGATTTTTTAAACTTTTTTTTGAATCCACTATAATTAATGAAACAGAGTTGGGATTAAAAAATCATAACTTCCGGGTTTATAGAAACTAAGAAATTATTTATGTCATACTAAATCTGTACTAAATTTGCTTTAAAATGTTAGTTATTTCAGTTTGATATCTCAATTTGTTCTTGAGATACAATTATTTAAACTTTTTTTGAATCTATTACAACTAATGAAACAGAGTTAGGAATAAAAAATCATAACTTCCGGGTTTATGGAAACTAAGAAATTATTTATGGCACACCAAATCTGTATAAAATTTGCTTTAAAATCTTAGTTATTTCAGCTTGATATCTCAATTTGTTCTTGAGATACGATTTTTTAAACTTTTTTTTGAATCCACCATAATGAATGAAACAGAGTTAGGATTAAAGAAAGATAACTTCCGTATTTATAGGAACTAAGAAATTATTTATGGCACACTAAATCTGTATTAAAACTTCCGGGTTTATGGAAACTAAGAAATTATTTATGGCACACCCAATCTGTAAAAAATTTGCTTTAAAATGTTAATTATTTCACTTTGATATCTCAATTTGTTTTTGAGATACGATTTTTTAAACTTTTTTTTGAATCCACTATAATTAATGCAACAAAGTTGGGATTAAAAAAAATAACTTTCGTGTTTATGGAAATCAAGAAATAATTTATGGAACACCAAATCTGTATTAAATTTGCTTTAAAATGATAGTTATTTCAGCTTGATATCTCAATTTGTTCTTGAGATACGATTTTTTAAACTTTTTTTTGAACCCACCATAATGAATGAAACAGAGTTAGGATTAAAGAAAGATAACTTCCGTATTTATAGGAACTAAGAAATTATTTATGGCACACTAAATCTGTATTACATTTGCTTTAAAATGTTTATTATTTCAGCTTGATATCTCAATTTGTTCTTGAGATACGATTTCTTAAACTTTTTTTTGTATCCACCATAATTAATGAAACAGAGTTGGGATTAAAAAAACATAACTTCCGTGTTTATGGAAATCAAGAAATAATTTATGGTACATCAAATCTGTATTAAATTAGCTTTAAAATGTTAGTTATTTCAGCTTGATATTTCAATTTGTTCTTGAGATACGATTTTATAAACTTTTTTTTTAATCCACCATAATTAATGAAACAGAGTTGGGATTAAACAAACATAACTTCTGAGTTTATGGGAACTAAGAAATTATTTATGACACACTAAATATGCATTAAATTTGTTTTAAAACGTTAATTATTGCAGCGTCATATCTCAATTAGTTCTTGAGATACGATTTTTTAAACTTTTTTTGTATCCACCATAATTAATGAAACAAAGTTGGTATTAAAAAAACATAACTTCCGTGTTTATGGAAATCAAGAAATAATTTATGGAACACCAAATCTGTATTAAATTAGCTTTAAAATGTTAGTTATTTCAGCTTGATATCTCAATTTGTTCTTGAGATATGATTTTTTAAACTTTTTTTTTAACCCACCATAATGAATGAAACAGAGTTAGAATTAATGAAAGATAACTTCCGTATTTATAGGAACTAAGAAATTATTTATGGCACACTAAATCTGTATTAAATTAGCTTTAAAAAGTTCGTTATTTCAGCTTGATATCTCAATTTGTTCTTGAGATACGATTTTTTAAACTTTTTTTTGTATCCACCATAATTAATGAAACAGATTTGGGATTAAAAAAACATAACTTCCGTTTTTATGGAAATCAAGAAATAATTTATGGAACACCAAATCTGTATTAAATTAGCTTTAAAATGTTAGTTATTTCAGCTTGATATTTCAATTTGTTCTTGAGATACGATTTTTTAAACTTTTTTTTGAACCCACCATAACGAATGAAACAGTGTTAGGATTAAAGAAAGATTACTTCCGTATTTATAGGAACTAAGAAATTATTTATGGCACACTAAATCTGTATTAAATTAGCTTTAAAATGTTAGTTATTTCAGCTTGATATCTCAGATACGATTTTTTAAACTTTTTTTTGAACCCACCATAATGAATGAAACAGAGTTAGGATTAAAGAAAGATAACTTCCGTATTTATAGGAACTAAGAAATTATTTATGGCACACTAAATCTGTATTAAATTAGCTTTAAAATGTTCGTTATTTCAGCTTGATATCTCAATTTGTTCTTGAGATACGATTTTTTAAACTTTTTTTTGAACCCACCATAATTAATGAAACAGAGTTGGGATTAGAAAACATAACTTCTGTGTTTATAAAAACTAAAAAATTATTTATGGAACACCAAATCTGTATTAAATTAGCTTTAAAATGTTTGTTATTTCAGGTTGATATCTCAATTAGTTCTTGAGATACGATTTTTTAAACTTCTTTTTTAATCCACCATAATTAATGAAACAGAGTTGGGATTAAAAAAACATAACTTCCTTGTTTATGGGAACTAAGAAATTATTTATGGCACACCAAATCTGTATTAAATTTGCTTTAAAATGTTTGTTATTTCAGCTTGATATCTCAATTAGTTCTTGAGATACGATTTTTTAAACTTTTTTTTGTATCCATCATAATTAATGAAACAGAGTTGGGATTAAAATATCATAACTAACGGGTTTATGGAAACTAAGAAATTATTTATGGCACACCAAATCTGTATTAAATTAGCTTTATAATGTTAGTTATTTCAGCTTGATATCTCAATTTGTTCTTGAGATACGATTTTTTAAACTTTTTTTTGAATCCACCATAATTAATGAAACAGAGTTAGGATTAAAGAAAGATAACTTCCGTATTTATAGGAACTAAGAAATTATTTATGGCACACTAAATCTGTATTAAATTTGCTTTAAAATGTTTGTTATTTCAGCTTGATATCTCAATTAGTTCTTGAGATACGATTTTTTAAACTTTTTTTTGAATCCACCATAATTAATGAAACAGAGTTGGGATTAAAAAAACATAACTTCCGTGTTTATGGAAATCAAGAAATAATTTATGGAACACCAAATCTGTATTAAATTAGCTTTAAAATGTTAGTTATTTCAGCTTGATATCTCAATTTGTTCTTGAGATACGATTTTTTAAACTTTTTTTTGAACCCACCATAATGAATGAAACAGAGTTAGGATTAAAGAAAGATAACTTCCGTATTTATAGGAACTAAGAAATTATTTATGGCACACTAAATCTGTATTAAATTTGCTTTAAAATGTTTGTTATTTCAGCTTGATATCTCAATTAGTTCTTGAGATACGATTTTTTAAACTTTTTTTTAATCCACCATAATTAATGAAACAGAGTTGGGATTAAAAAAACATAACGTTCGTGTTTATGGGAACTAAGAAATTATTTATGGCACACTAAATCTGTATTAAATTTGCGTTAAAATGTTTATTATTTCAGCTTGATATCTCAATTTGTTCTTGAGATACGATTTTTTAAACTTTTTTTTGTATCCACCATAATTAATGAAACAGAGTTGGGATTAAAAAAACATAACTTCCGTGTTTATGGGAACTAAGAAATTATTTATGGCACACTAAATCTGTATTAAATTAGCTTTAAAATGTTAGTTATTTCAGCTTGATATCTCAATTAGTTCTTGAGATACGATTTTTTAAACTTTTTTTTGAACCCACCATAATGAATGAAACAGAGTTAGGATTAAAGAAAGATAACTTCCGTATTTATAGGAACTAAGAAATTATTTATGGCACACCAAATCTGTATTAAATTAGCTTTATAATGTTAGTTATTTCAGCTTGATATCTCAATTTGTTCTTGAGATACGATTTTTTTAACTTTTTTTTTAATCCACCATAATTAATGAAACAGAGTTAAGATTAAAGAAAGATAACTTCCGTGTTTATGGAAATCAAGAAATAATTTATGGAACACCAAATCTGTATTAAATTAGCTTTAAACTGTTAGTTATTTCAGCTTGATATCTCAATTTGTTCTTGAGATACGATTTTTTAAACTTTTTTTTGAATCCACCATAATGAATGAAACAGAGTTAAGATTAAAGAAAGATAACTTCCGTGTTTATGGGAACTAAGAAATTATTTATGGCACACTAAATCTGTATTAAGTTTGCTGTAAAATGTTAATTATTTCAGCTTTATATCCCAATTTGTTCATGAAATACTATCAATGTTATGATTGAATGATGTTAAAATTAGAAATTATTTATATTAGCTTTCTAATAGATGTTGAAACCTTGGGTAAACACCTCGTATTGACTTGTTTAACAGTTTATCGCAATTTTATCTGTACACATTTACATTTTTGTGATACCCCCACAAACTTTCGTACCCAACCCAAAAAAAAATCCAATATCGAATTAATCCAAAGGCTTTTGATTTCTTTTTGGTTGTTTAGGTGGTTCCCATAATCTTCAGGGTCAAGATTGTTTCTCTGAAAAGTCAACGATTTCATCAAACTACAGCAGCCCAGCTTCGACACCTTCAACCCTAACAGACACGCAAGGTAAGTTAAAAATGTCTGAGTAAATTTTTTTCTTTAATTTATTATTTTTTAATTTTATCTTCGCGACGAGATCGTTTAAATTTTCCAAACAATCACTGCATTGAAATAATAAAATCATCAATAATCTTAACGACGCATTCGAATTACATAACCATATAAGTTTTATAAATAGCTTCTAAAGGCAAACATGTTTTTGCGTATTTTGAAACCGATTGGTTTAGAATACGACAAATTTCGTGACCTCACCGATCTCGTCGTTTTATTTAAAGCATCCGAGACGATTACCTTATCATGATTGTCGTGATTATTTATCTTTGTATAACAAACCGAGCGAAACCAACGACAAACTCGCTTTAGAATGGAATGAAACAGTGTAACGTGAACTTCTAAGCAACTAACACCATTTTATTTATTATTTCTCGGTTGTGATGTTGTTGAGTGCGATGACGCGCGATTTCGCTTCTTGTAATTAATATGCGAATGATATCCACCTCCAAAAAAGGCAATCGATCCTAGCTAACTCAAATTTCGTGGTCAATAAACGTGCAGTGCTTCCTTTAACATGTCTCTTTTCTATTGCTTTAACGTTACCAGTGTGTGTTGAATCATTCAATCGACAGGATCCACAATGCCGGATACCTCAAAATCAAGAAAACGAAGAAGAAATAATGGTAATAAGAAAAAATGTATCGATAAAACCGTCAATGAAACATCGAAAGAAGAAAATTATAGAGTTGAATCTCCAAAAACCATTCAAAACGTTAAGAAAAAAGGACAAGTTGTTAAAAGTAAAAGTTTAGACGATGACGAATCATTAAAAATACAAGAAATTTCAACGGAATCGTTCAAAGAAACCAATGAAACAACAAATGATAAATCAAATAACGTTATAATCGACGATTTAGAAGATTCAACCATCCATACTTTAACTACTGAAACTTTAAAAACAAATTCGACTGAAACTAAATTTATTTCGCCCGAAGATGAATCAAAACTTCGCTGTTTCCTGGAAGGATTAAATTTACCATCGACTCCAGAAGAAGCTCAAATTGTTAAAGAAAAAGAATCGTCGGAATCAATAAGAGCCAAACGATCAAAAACTCGCACGGAATTAGCTCAATATTTCCTCCCAGTTTACCAAAACCCACGATTTTTAGACGTTATTAGCGAAGAAAACAGTGACCACAGCGATAGAGAAACCAAAGATGCGAAAGAATCAAAAAAACCGAGACTACAAAAATACATCCCAACACAAAATCTCGATCACAAAAAGGTTGAAACCGTTTTGCTTGAACGTGAAGAAGTTGAACTCCCAATAATTTCCGATACTTGCACAATATCTGTTACTGAAAAAAGTTTGGGGGGTGTTGAAGTTGTGTTTTTAGATGATTTCGAAGATAGCCAAAGTGAAGATGAGTTAGAAATTCCATCGTGCCAATTAACCCCACCGCCAACACCGGATTGTGACTCCCCAGAACCAATCCAACCGATTGAGAAAACGTGTTGTTTAACGCCAAAACCATCCAGAAGCCCATCTTATGACCGTGAAGATAGCAGTAGTAGAGGAACGTCTTTATGCACAACAATTTGTTCAAATTTACCAAAAACTCTTCGGGAATTATGTTTGGACAAGTTAGTTTCTTTGCCTTTTGGTGAAGATGTTCTTGAAGAGCTCGCCCATGTTTCTATGTCTTTGCAAGAATTAACAAATAAAAAACCAAACGAAAAAAACATAATTAATAAGAAATCTAATTTTGGAATTGCAGAGAAAAAGGCGATGCCCGAAGAAAAACTTGAAGATAAGGATACTGAAAGATGTTATTACAGCGATACAGAAACCCTAAAAACCCTAAAATCAAACGGAGAAAGTCGTCTTTTAGCCTTAATCAATAACATAACCCCCATCAAACCAGCCGAAAATCCTCGTTTACAAGCAACAAATTTAAACGAATGGTTGTCTTTAGCGCAAAAATCACCATTAAATACTCAAAACAACCAAGATTTTCGAAGAAGGCGATCACTTCCAAACGAAATTTACATCCAACAAATGCAAAATATTATTCAAAAAGAAAAAGAAATCCAACAAGAACTCGAAAAGTTAGAGGAGGAAAAACGAAAGCTACAAAACGAAATGGAAACACCAAAATATTCGTTTAAATTTGACCCATCCAAATATCATATCTCTAAAAATGAGGATATCGCGATTTTGAACGAAGAATTAAAACGGCCGAAACTAAAATTAACGCAACCGTCAACGGAAAACTTTCGGAATCAAATGTACAACGAATATTTACAGCAAATTGCGGAAAGAAAAGAACGAAAACATCAAAAAGTTATCAAAATTAGTTCGCATCATGATTTGCCTGAGGAAGAAATACATCAACCCGCTGGAATTAAAGATGAATTTATGTCGAAATTAAAACAGAAACGTTATTGTTATCAAGGTGACGATGTTAATGATAATTATGACGACGATAATAATGAAAATTTTGATGAAAATCATAATGAAGATAAATCGATAACTGTTATTGATGGTAAAAAAGTTGGCGATTCTAAATATTTACCAAAACATCTCAAGGAATTCGTTGATATTACCAGAGAGGCTTCGGAAAATCTAGAAAATCTTGAAAAATTCGAAGATGGACGTGGTGAGTGGACGAAACGTTTGGAATTGCAGTGGATGTTGTGTGATCTACTTGATGTTTTAACATTGAACTTGGAATTTTGAAACGCTACTAATACAACATTTATAAAAATTATTATCTCATCGCTTTTGTTAGTTTTTTTTTATTGTTTGTTAATTTGATTTTTAGTATGAGTGATGCTTTAATTATTTTTGCATGATTTTTATTATTTTTTTTTTAATTAACAAAGTGGTGATAAATTTTTAAAAATATCTATCTCTCGACATGAATCTTATCAACTTTATTACGTAAATTTAAATTTTTTATATTAACCATTAAAAATAAATATTATTAATTGACTAAAAATAGGTGCCACTTCAAAGAAGGATAGAAATGCATACCGAATTCATAGGATTTTAAGTAAAAACCGAGGAATTTCAAAAAGCAGTTTGTTACACGAGATAGATTCATCGCTTCGTTTAGCGAAAGGTTTTTTATTAAAAAGAGGTTTGTGACCCCGTTTTATTTTCTACATTATACGAAAATATCGAATTACATTCAAGTAACATTATACATTGTGTACACATTCGATCGCAACAATTCTCTCTTAGATTCTAGTCATTATTTCATCACATACTTTTGTAATATAGACTTAAAGAAATGGGATATTTTAATATAATAAAGTATATTTAATCACAATAATACTCTCTTTTCTTTCAAATACTTTTAATTTTAAAATTTGAACTAATTGATTTTAAAACAATGAAATTTTAAGAATAGAATGCATGGTTAAAAATAAAATTACATCGGCCTAAATACCGAGATAAAAATAGTTGTGTTTAGAATTGTTTTAAATATCTCTTTGCGATCTGTTAACCTTAAAAAATAAAGGGCTAAAAATCATTTAATACATTTTGATGAAATTAATAAAATCGAAGTAACGAAATTTTTAGGATTAATTCAGAATTGTTTAACTAATTTAACGCAACCAACCATTTGGTGTTATCTTGAATAGTTACGGAAGAAACAATTCGTAAAGTTACATTAAAAAATCACCATTTTTTATATGGATGGTTTTTGTTGATGTTGGAATGAAAATTGTTTATCTTCGTTTTCTTTAAAAATGAAAGAACGAAATTTGGTGAGATTATGTAGAATTGAGTAACAATTTTACTGTAATTAACCATTTTTTTGTATCTTAATTAGTTTTTGAGAAAGCACATTTAAAGTTAGCTCGAAAAAATCCCGGCTTAAAAATACATTTAAAAAATTTTTTGTTAAATTACTAATAAAATTGAAAAAACGAAATTTCGTGGGTTAATTAAGAATTGTTTAACTAATTTAATGCAATAAACCATTTGGTGTTATCTTGAATAGTTAAGGAGAAAACAACTCTTAAAGTTACATTAAAAAACACTATTTATATGGACACTTTTTGTTGAGGTTGGAATGAAAATTGTTTATCTTCGTTTTCTTTAAAAATGAAAGAACGAAATTTGGTGAGATTATGTAGAATTGAGTAACAATTTTACTGTAATTAACCATTTTTTTGTATCTTAATTAGTTTTTGAGAAAGCACATTTAAAGTTAGCTCGAAAAAATCCCGGCTTAAAAATACATTTAAAAAATTTTTTGTTAAATTACTAATAAAATTGAAAAAACGAAATTTCGTGGGTTAATTAAGAATTGTTTAACTAATTTAATGCAATAAACCATTTGGTGTTATCTTGAATAGTTAAGGAGAAAACAACTCTTAAAGTTACATTAAAAAACACTATTTATATGGACACTTTTTGTTGAGGTTGGAATGAAAATTGTTTATCTTCGTTTTCTTTAAAAATGAAAGAACGAAATTTGGTGAGATTATGTAGAATTGAGTAACAATTTTACTGTAATTAACCATTTTTTTGTATCTTAATTAGTTTTTGAGAAAGCACATTTAAAGTTAGCTCGAAAAAATCCCGGCTTAAAAATACATTTAAAAAATTTTTTGTTAAATTACTAATAAAATTGAAAAAACGAAATTTCGTGGGTTAATTAAGAATTGTTTAACTAATTTAATGCAATAAACCATTTGGTGTTATCTTGAATAGTTAAGGAGAAAACAACTCTTAAAGTTACATTAAAAAACACTATTTATATGGACACTTTTTGTTGAGGTTGGAATCAAAATTGTTTATCTTCGTTTTTTTTAAAAATGAAAGAACGAAATTTGGTGAGATTATGTAAAATTGAGTAACAATTTTAATGTAGGCAAAAAATTTGTTGTAACTTAATTAGTTCTTGTGAAAACAAAGTTAAAGTTAGCCTGAAAAAAACCCATCTTAAAAACACATTTTTTGCGAGACACATTTAAAAATTTTTTTGCTAAATTACTAATAAAATTGAAGAAACGAAATTTCGTGGGTTAATTAAGAATTGTTTAACTAATTTAATGCAACAAACCATTTGGTGTTATCTTGAATAGTTACGGAGAAAACAATTCGTAAAGTTACATTAAAAAATCACTATTAAATGGATATTTTTGTTGATGTTGGAATGAAAATTGTTCATCTTCGTTTCCTTTAAAAATGAAAGAACGAAATTTGGTGAGATTATGTAGAATTGAGTAACAATTTTAATGTAGTCAACTATTTTTTTGTATCTTAATTAGTTTTTGAAAAAACAAATTTAAAGTTAGCTCGAAAAAATCCCGGCTTAAAAATACATTTAAAAAATTTTTTGTTAAATTACTAATAAAATTGAAGAAACGAAATTTCGTTGGTTAATTAAGAATTGTTTAATTAATTTAATGCAATAAACCATTTGGTATTACCTTGAATAGTTAAGGAGAAAACAATTCTTAAAGTTACATTAAAAAATCACTATTGATATGGATACTTTTTGTTGAGGTTGGAATCAAACTTGTTTATCTTCGTTTTCTTTAAAAATGAAATAACGAAATTTGGTGAGATTATGTAGAATTGACTAACAATTTTAATGTAGTCAACTATTTTTTTGTATCTTAATTAGTTTTTGAGAAAACAAAGTTAAAGTTAGCCTGAAAAAACCCATCTTAAAAACACATTTTTTACGAGACACATTTAAAAATTTTTTTGCTAAATTACTAATAAAATTGAAGAAACGAAATTTCGTGGGTTAATTAAGAATTGTTTAACTAATTTAATGCAATAAACCATTTGGTGTTATCTTGAATAGTTAAGGAGAAAACAACTCTTAAAGTTACATTAAAAAACACTATTTATATGGACACTTTTTGTTGAGGTTGGAATGAAAATTGTTTATCTTCGTTTTCTTTAAAAATGAAAGAACGAAATTTGGTGAGATTATGTAGAATTGAGTAACAATTTTAATGTAGTTAACCATTTTTTTGTATCTTAATTAGTTTTTGAGAAAACAAAGTTAAAGTTAGCCCGAAAAAATCTTTTCCGAGACACATTTAAATTTTTTTTTGCTAAATTACTAATAAAATTGAAGAAACGAAATTTCATGGGTTAATTAAGAATTGTTTAACTAATTTAATGCAACAAACCATTTGGTGTTATCTTGAATAGTTCAGGAAAAAACAATTCTTAAAATTACATTAAAAAACACTATTTATATGTACACTTTTTGTTGAGATTGGAATGAAAATTGTTTATCTTCGTTTTCATCAAAAATGAAAGAACGAAATTTGGTGAGATTATGTAGAATTGAGTAACAATTTTAATGTAGTTAACCATTTTTTTGTATCTTAATTAGTTTTTGAGAAAACAAAGTTAAAGTTAGCCCGAAAAAATCTTTTCCGAGACACATTTAAAAATTTTTTTGCTAAATTACTAATAAAATTGAAGAAATGAAATTTCGTGGGTTAATTAAGAATTGTTTAACTAATTTATTGCAATAAACCATTTGGTGTTATCTTGAATAGTTACGAAGAAAAGAATTCGTAAAGTTACATTAAAAAATCACTATTTATATGGACACTTTTTGTTGAGGTTGGAATAAAAATTTGTTATCTTCGTTTTCCTTAAGAATGAAGTAACTAGAATTTAATAACAATTTTAATGATTGACTAAGATATTCAAATTTTGATATTAAATTTGATTTCCGTTACATTTTGAACTATTTTGTATATAGCAAAGTTTATCTCTCAATCTATCTAAAGTGTAAACGTTCTCGATGGTTATCTTCCGCTGTCTCAATGTCAATCGTTGCAAATTTTTGTTCATTGTTCTGGATAAGGAAAATAATAATTACCTTATCAAAAAAGTTAAAGATAACTCCCCAAGGATTAATTTTTTATATTATTAAAAACTCATGATTGCTCATATTTATTGGTGTTGTTTCGATTAATATTTATGATGGGTTTATATTAATTCTAATTTTATTTCAAAAATATGTTTTTTAATTTAAAAAGAAATTCATTGAGAAAATCAGCCATTAGTTAGGTTAGTCACTGATTTCAAATTTAGTCGGTTAGTTGAGGCAAAGATCTAAATCTGTAACAGCGGCGTCGCGACGCCCAGTGGTTGAGGCGTCAGTCCGGTAGTTGGCGTTTCGTGCGTCGGTCGGTTTTCAATTATATTACATCGATACACACCAATAACACAAAATGTTTCCAAATTTTTCGAAATCTTTTTTAGAAATAGTGCGCGAAAGGTTCTAAAAAAACTTGATTTTATATATAAAGAAAATAAATAATCAAAAATGATCAGCCCTTCACCTACTTTTAAAGCTACAGCTCCTAATTCAGGTAAAAAATTACTAAAAGAATATAACATGTATTAATTTTTTTGTATTAGCTTAAATGTAGGAATAGAAATAATTTATAAAATATAATAATTAATATTTCTAAACGTGCGTCATTTAAAAAAAAACCTTGTACGTGTTATCGCATACTGCACAAAATATTTAAAAGTTAAATGTTTTTGTTGTTTAACACATTTTATTTTTTTTTTCAAATTTGTATAAATTCACGTGATTCCTAAAAGACCCTATTTTTAACCATCTACCTGTTGTGTAAGTTGGAAACGTTCCAATTT